ACGCCTCTTCAATAGACCAGGCGTAAAAGATCGTAGTGTCCAGGCGTAAAAATGTCCAGGCGTAAAAATGTCCAGGCGTACAATACACAATGATATACACAAAATACATTACATGTTTTGAAAACTGTATTTATTTTATCAAAACATCCATATCTTAGTATCAATTTAAATGACATTCAAAGGCAGTTTTTCTTAACATTTTGATGGACAACAAAAATTACAAAATGTCATTCAAATAAACTTTACATTAATAAATCTTCCCATTTAAGGAAAATTCAAAATTTGTATTATACAAAAATATATAAATTATCTTGAAAATACAGTGTACCAATCTCTGATGACTTTGTATTACAGCAGAGATGCTTATAATGAATTCATGGTTATAGTGATTTTCATTTCCTTAAGTTTTAGAATATTGCTGTGAACTTAACGGATATAATGAACTACGTCTAATTAAAATTGTTCATTCATTGTACTTCGCAATAAGTGTGTTTTACATTAGCTTATCTTGTATCGTGCACTGAGCTCTTCTTAGCATTCTCATATTTTTCTTTCCTCTGTTCCTTTTTACATTTTTGTCCTGCAATGAGACTTGCTCTGTGATGGCATTGTTCAGTTCTTGGTTCACTTTTTCTTTTCATTTTCTCCACACCACTCAAGGGCATAACCTGAAGGAAAATTGTAGCCATGCTTTAATGTAGGTCTGAAATCACATTATGTCCAACAAGATCAGTATTTACAATTAGAGAAAAAAAAATTGTTGTATTACATAATGGGTTGACAGGAAAACAGACAGACCAAACACTATATATCCCCAATCCTTCAATTGGGGGCATGAAAATCTTACCCCTTCAGATATTCCAGGGGGTGAAATATCCTGGTCATTCTCCCTTGGTTTTTCTGAAGAAGGAGGATCTGGACACAGGAAGCCTGCTTCTTGATTATCTGGATGATAGGAATAGAAATATATTAAAGCCGTGCATATAGTTAAATATATCAAATATTGAATGTGTATTTTACTATTACACAAATACTTTATTTAGGTTTTTATTTTTTTATTATTATCTAACCTCAACACAATCCTCCATGGGATGAAATGCTAATATCTACTACTACTACCAATGAAAGGATGTTGGTAGTAGAGTGTTTTCTCAAAGGAGGAGTTTTGTGACTTGGTATCTTCTTTTCCTTGGGACTTAGCTCCTGTTTCTTCTCTCTTGTATCCTCAGTGTTTTTCTTCTTCTTATTTGGGATAAACTCTTCATCGTGTTCCTTAATTTCTTTTATTTTGTCTGTTGGAGCCCTTGTTCTCTTCCCATTTGCTTTCTCTGTGTTTAGATTGAGAAAGTAAACAGTCTCTCTGGAATATGTTGGCTTTCTCCTGCAAGTTTCCTAATAATTTGCTGCATGCCGAATAGCAAACTTTGTTAGTTCCTCTTCATCATCTACAAATACACACACATATAACAAAATTATCACCAAGAAATGTGAGCTTTGTGTAGCATATCTGAGCTTGAACCCCCCCCCCCCCCCCCATTTAAGAAACACAAAACAGACCCCTTGTAAGTCAGTAGGAAGGAACGAATACAAGAAAGTTAATGAAAGAATATATATATATATATATATATATATATATATATATATATATATATATATATATATATATATATATATATATATATTGATTGGGTATGAAATGAAAAGTTTCCTATCCACCTATGCATGTAGCAACCCATTAAACATCACCTTAACCATGTAAACATGATCAGCTTATCAGAAAGTGCACTCTATTTGTTATCAGGACAGCTTTTTATTAAAATTACTGTAATTATTTTGTCTAGTAAAATTTTTAAGACAGCCACCGCGCCGTGTGGCAAATCCATCATACCATGTTGTGATCCATGCGACTTTATATTTCCCTCATCTTGAACCCGACTCGTATATTTTTTGTTTTGTATATATTTTTTTCGAAATGTTAAATACTAAAAATGATAATTATGCAATAGAAAGATAATTTTAAAAAAAAATCATGGAGTATACAACAGCAGTAGTTTACAAATACGACAGGTCTCCATGCGTAAACAAACACGCATGCTACATGTAATCTAATCATTAACCATGTTAACAGAATGATTTTAAAAGCACATTTCTTAATTTTTTATAAATAATACTATATGGTATATTTCAAAGTGTTAACCTCGCTGGAGTATGAAAATCTAAAAAATTCTTACCATGAACATTGATGATGGGGCCATGAATGATGGTATCTCACTTCGAATTCCGTCCTTATTGTCAACGTTTTGTCTTTTTCGCCCACAACAGTCAAACTGCAATCCTCATCGAAGTATTTTCACTTTCAAGTAAAACCAAGTTGTCAGAAACAAGTAGAAATCGGCAGGGCAATGTTTCTTTCAAAGCAACAGAATTTGAAATGACCATGCGGGCGGGATTTTGATCATTGTTGATAGCGTGGGATATCAAGTTTCTGCAGCCCCGGTTCGAAGATGCTCTTTGAGGTTCACGACGGGATCGATACAAAAGCTATTACAAACTTTTCCCCAAAAAACGTCTCTCAAAATAATAAAATGCGTTCTTTTAGTATTAATTCGTCGAATTTTTTTTTAAGATGCAAATCAATGTGTAGATCAATAAATTTCACTGAGATCATTTTGTAAGGCGATTCCCCTTGGCCTCTGAGAAAACACCTTAGTTTACAGTTGTTCTCGACACATTGGAAAATCATGGAATAACCAAACAAAATAAAAGAAGGTTACTTACGGAAAGCGTTTGTAAAGTTTAGCAAATTTCAGCTCGTTAATTTATGGAACGATGGAGAATAAAAATATGAGATGTATTACAAGTTACAGAATTTGTGATCGAAATGTGTAAAATTTGCCGAGACATAAATAACAAGAACATGAATCTTTGATAGCGAGAAAACCATAGAAGATTCTAGTAAACTGTTATCGGTAAGTATTTTACAGTTTTTTAAAACATTAAAAAAAAAAACACAAAAAAAAAAAAAAAACGATCGACTTACATATATCGGGATCGACAATCAATTTAATAGAATGTTACTTCCGTTTTACAGATTGCAGCCCGAATTATCTCGGAACTAAATCGACTCTGAAGTTGAAGACGCAGAAATAATCATCATGAGCGAGGTAGGTCACCTTAAATAACATTGTTTTGTTTGTATCGCTTTACCATTAGCTTACAAATTATTTACTTCTTGCAAGTTGCAGGGACGTATATAGATCCCTGCTACTTGATGATCATACAGTACATGTATGTAAAGCAAGAGAAAAAAAAAATACGAATGAGTTCTCATCGATTTTTTTTCTCAATATGTTTCAAGAAAATTAATTATTTTTTGTACATATCGATTAGCTTGTAACAATACAACCTCCACACCAATTACTGGTTTTTAAAAATATATATATTTTAGTCGATTAAATTAATGTTCACTTGCATGCATTTGATTAACTGGATAATAGTGGTGTTTTATTCTTGAATTAGATGTCTGACCATGAAGAGTCTGAGCTGGACGATTTGATGAGTAACATGACAACATTTAAGAAACAAAGAACCCCAACTGCCAAAAAGATACATAAAATTTAGTGATGAGGATTTTTCTGATAATGAAGAGGAAGTATTCTCTTTTCTGATTTATCTGATGAAGAAGAATACATTTTGGATGATATCACTGAAGAAATTGCAATGTTACGGAGCATGATGATCAAGACTTCCAACTTCATTCTTTGCTGTGTAACATTCGTATTTCAATAAGAGTATTCATGTTAGTGCTTGCTGTGATTTGCACCAATAATAGATGATGAATCCAACAACATTTGAACAAAATTTCAGATGTGATGCTAGCAGAACACATTTTATATGCCATTTGACATATATGCATTTAACAGTTGTCCAAAAAAAAAACAAAACTAAGGAACCTTTGTGACAGTGTTTACCACTTTTATTGTCATCGTTGTTTGGGGGCCATACAAAATGTTGATTGTGTCATCTGTCTAAAGGAATTTTGTCAAACACCATTCAAGAAACCAAAAACTTCTTTCTGGAAATACCTGTTATAAATCTACTCCACAATATTATTTTTCAAGATGGATTTTTTTAAAGCAAAATGCAAGAGTGGTTTAACAGAAATATAGCTGGTGGAACTTATAAGGACATCTGTGATGGGACTGTAATTTCAGCTAGAAATTATCTTAGCTCAATAATGATGTTGGGAAAGACAAACACAAATGCTGAAATATTTATCTTAAAGTTTTCTAATCTATAAAGTATTTCACTGTAAATATTGCCAGTGGATTTATTGTTAACAAAAAAAGTGAAATATAATGTTTTGCCTACATTGTACCTTTTCTATTTTTTTCTAAGACCAACATTACACCTCACCAATTTTTCTAAGTCCAACATTACGCCTCACCAATTTTTCTAAGTCCAACATTACGCCTTACAAATTTTACTAAGTTCAGCATTACGCCTGGTTTTAAAAAGTTACGCTTGATACAAGAATTACGCCTGGCCCAAGAGGCGGAAAATGACACGTATTCCGTGTGTGCAAAGAGCAGGAATACGTGTCCTGCTCATGTACGCCTGGTAAAGACACGTAATTCTGAATTCCGTCTAGAAACCAGCTGGTTTCCATGTCTCATCCAGCTGGTTTACGCCTCACTTGTTCGTACGGGTGTGCCAAATATATGTACTACAATACAAATATTGCAAATATAAGTTCACACACACACACACAGATATATATATATATATATATATATATATATATATATATATATATATATATATATATATATATATATAGATATAGATATATATATATATAAAATCACCAACAATATCTTGTATTTTATATTCCGTAACATGTCTGAAGGAATTATCATCAAAACATGTCATTATTATGAAATTTTGTCAGAGCTATGAAACAATCTGTGTCACCTAGGATTGATTCCATTCTGTAGCACTCTCCGTTTTGATTCATTTTCCTGGCTCATACGGATTGTAGTCATCTTCCTTCATGGAAGCTAATGTGTGATTAACGACCCTATGGTGAGCCTCATCAGCACGAATTGCCAAAACTACATCCTTCATAGATGCAGTTACCTGAAAAACATAGATGAGGCGCATTAAGGGTCATTTTTATTGCCCGGGTAGGAATGGATTATATTGATCTTTCCTGAGGGAGGCCAGAACGTGATTCACTTTTCGATGATTTGCTTCATCCGCCCGAATGTTAAATATAACATCTTTCATTGTACCACGAACCTGTAAATCAATGGTGTAAAAATGTGTGATGCATTAATTATTAGTGTTAGATAAACTTCACCTTCTTGATTATTCACTTAATAATTATAGACAATGCAAAAGAATACCAAAAAAAAAACCACTAAGTTAAAATAAATGATAAGATGCTTAAAATTTGCTATGTGAATTAAAAAAGCTAAAAACCTGAGTGATTAGTATGAATCTAGTATATTCAATATACTTAATAATTAGTATCATTCTGGTATATTTTTTATACTGTGTGATAAGTGTGAATCTAGTATATTTTATATACATAAGTGATAAGTATGCATCTGTTATATATTGATATAATTAATGAAGCTCTAAACACTGCACACTAAAGAGTTCTAATTGTAGGGTAGTTTTATACAGTTAGAGTCATCTGCCCTTAGAAGTAAGATAGAACAAAATGTTATTTATAGTTAACTTACACAATTTGTAATAGATTAAAATATTCGTAGCATTATATTAGACCAAGAATAAGTAATTGAATTCATTATTTCCATCAATTTTCACAATGCTGGAAAACAACACTGATTTCTGTTCATGCATAGTTCAATGTCTTTGAACATTTTTCCTGCAGAAATATGGCATGCAGGTACCCTATGTTGAATCTCAATATGCACACCTTTATATGATATATTTTTCTCCAAGTCCAAAAAGCACTTTTTGTTAGTGTTTAGAGCTTCTATAAGTGTTTAATCTGGCATATTTTAATATACTTAAGTGTTTAGAATGAATCTGGTATATTTTAATATACTTAAGTGTTTAGAATGAATCTGGTATATTTAATAATCTATAGTGATTAGAATGAATCTGGTACATTTTAATACCTTCAGTTGAGTAAAAAGTTTAAATTACTTACAGGAAGTTTCCAGTAACGAATAGCCACATCCGGGGCTTTCTGTGTTTGCCATATTTTCAAAGGTCCAGACTCTATATCCTAAATATAGGAAATAAATCCATAATAAAATCCATTCCGTATTTTAAAACTACAATATAAATATATATTACAATCTAATTACTCATTCTATGTTCCTTCAATACATGATTGTAATGTTTTCAATATTCCTTGCAAACTTGTGTGAGTTGTCTTCATCAATAACCATGGTTACCAACTGGAATAAGAAATTTGACCTAGGCTCATGTCTTGCTTGAAAAGTGCTTAAAATTTTTATCTACATCAATCATCCTCTTATTTAGTGTTCAACAACATGTAAATGAATCTGGTTGGAAATATTAAATACCAGCACTTTTTTAGAGCACACTTAAAAGTTGGTAGACAGTAGAGGGCGATTTTCAGATCAGTCCTACCTTTAGACACTTTGAGTGGGAGTATACAAGCATACAGGGTGATTTTCGTTCAGTTCTACCTTTAGACACTTTACATCTAGACACTTTGATTAGGTGTGTACAGACAGATGGGGCCATTTTTAAGGTCACTCTTACCTTGCGAGACTTTGAGTAGGTGAATATAGACAGATGTGGGCGAATTACAAATCACTCTTACTTTTAGACACTTTGAGTATGTGTGTACAGACAAATGGGGTGATTTACAAATCACTCTTAATTTTAGACACTTTGAGTATGTGTGTACAGACAAATGGGGCGATTTACAAATCACTCTTATTTTAGACACTTTGAGTAATTGTGTTGACAAATGGGGTGATTTACAAATCACTCTTACTTTTAGACACTTTGAGTATGTGTGTACATACAAATGGGGCGATTTCTAAATCATTCTTACCTTTAGACACTTTGAGTATATGTGTACAGACAGGGTGATTTACAGATCATATTTACCTTTAGACACTTTGAATATATGTGTAAGACAGGGTGATTCACAGATCATTCTTACCTTTAGACACTTTGAGTAGATGTATACAGACTGATCGGGTGATTTTCAGATCATTCTTACCTGTAGACAATTTGAGTATATGTGTACAAACAGGGTGATCCACAAATCATTCTTACCTTTAGACACTTTGAGTATATGTGTACAGACAGGGTGATTCACAGATCATTCTTACCTTTAGACACTTTGAGTATATGTGTATAGACAGGGTGATTCACAGATCATTCTTACCTTAAGACACTTTGAGTAGTTATGTAAGGATAGATGGGGTGATTTACAGATCATTCTTACCTTTAGACACTTTGAGTATATGTTTACAGACAGGGTGATTCACAGATCATTCTTACCTTTAGACACTTTGAGTAGATGTATACAGACTGATCGGGTGATTTTCAGATCATTCTTACCTTTAGACACTTTGAGTATATGTGTACAGACAGGGTGATTCACAGATCATTCTTACCTTTAGACACTTTGAGTAGTTATGTAAGGATAGATGGGGTGATTTACAGATCATTCTTACCTTTAGACACTTTGAGTATATGTTTACAGACAGGGTGATTCACAGATCATTCTTACCTTTAGACACTTTGAGTAGATGTATACAGACTGATCGGGTGATTTTCAGATCATTCTTACCTTTAGACACTTTGAGTATATGTGTACAGACAGGGTGATTCACAGATCATTCTTACCTTTAGACACTTTGAGTAGTTATGTAAGGATAGATGGGGTGATTTACAGAACACACTTACATTTAGACACTTTGAGTAGGTGTGTACGGACAGATGGAGTTATTTACAGAACACTCTTACCTTTAGACACTTTGAGTAGGTGTAAACAGCCTCCTCCTCCAAGTAACCAACAAAACGATGACAGAATCGAGGGCTGATCAGGTAAGCCAAGCTAAACATGGTCACAAAGGCACCTGTGTCCAAAATATGCAGAATTACAGACTTAAAATTTACATTTTATTTAAAATTAAGTTCAAATATCACTAATCTTTTTTTAATTTTGACCTTCTTAGATACACAGCATTTTTTTTAAAAGAATTCTCAGGTAAAAGGAGAGTAAATCAAAAATGTAAAGTTATTGGGAGATGATTTAATCAACTCCTCATAGGTAGCTGGCCAAGGGCGCATCAATATGAAAATGCAACTGACAAAAGTCGCCACGGAAAATCCTCTATTAAATGCAGTATTTTGTGAAAATCAGAGAAAGGTCAGAATTACAATTTTAACCAACAAATTAAGTAAGGTGTAAAGCTATAAGCATAAGAAGAGCAATGTAGAATCTCGGTAAAAAAACATGCCAAAAATATTCATGCAAGAAAATGGATTTTTCAGGTGTTACGAATAAAAAAATAATTCTTCATTAAACGTACTTTGAAGAAATTATAATTCCTGACAAAAGTCCACAATCGCTATGTAGTCAACTTTGTACTGTCATTGTAATTTCGTTAAATGCGTTTTCATTTCAATGTTCATGTCGCTTCAGATATATGTGTTTTTTCATAGTGCATGTATTCTAATTCTAAGAGAGGAAATTTGCTCCTAAAAAAGCTTAGATTGTATGTCATTTTGTTCAGTGTGTAGAGAAAAACTTAGGCATTCTGATGATTATAACAGTGCATAAACATGTAACTACAGTATGCTAAGACAATATAACAGTCCCATAACAATGGAGTTATTAATTATAGATAAGCATTTAAAGACCCTCTGTACATACATCAATGAAAAATGTTATTGTTTTACTCTGAGGAAATTATATCATATAAAGAAGTAAATATGGAATTTATCTATTTTATTTTCAGCATAGAGTACCTGCCATTTACCCCTAGGAAAAATATTCAAAGAAATGAAGTGTTCTTGAACTGAAATCACTGTTGCTTACTTACATGAGAAAAGTACATGCAAACAAAAAGTTCAATTAATTCATCTAAGCAAAATGAAATATTAAGAATGCATGAATTGATTGCAAATTGAGAAATAAACTTTAGATTTCAATTTATTTCATTTTAAATCTAAGGGCAGATTACTCTAACTACATAAAAATACAATGGAATTAGAACTCTTTAGTGTGCAGTGTATAGAGGATTCTTAAATACACGATGGTATACAGAGAACACAAATGTATGAAATCGATACAGATAATTGATGTAAACTCAACAAGTATCTCTTATGTTTACGTACATACGTGGGCATGAGTGCATGATTATCACAGCGGGCATTGTGTACTTGCAAATCTCTATGTAAAGTTCTAAAGCCGCAGATAAGATCTCAACACTACAGCAGATGTAATCAAACTTATAACCTCTGATTAAGCAGCCTTTTACTTTTGTGCCCAAAATGAAAATTAATCATAGCATACATAGGACTTTTTTTTAAGATATGTAATTTATGAAGCTTGCTAATTATTTTATTTTGGCAGAATTGCTGTACATGTAATTATTTCAATAATTAGTTGATTGTTGAAAGAGCAGGATTTGGAGGGCATCCTGATTTTTGCAAATTGGGGGTACATTGAATATTTTAGGGGTGGGGTGTTGAGGTAGCCCACTTACCTCTAACACAAAATCGTATAATTTGTACACATCTTTGGAACAAGGACCAAACATGTTGCTTTGTGATTTATATATAATTATACACCTGTAATGACATTTTATTTCGCTGCAATCGTAATAGATTTTGGCGAAAACAGTCCCAAAATTATAAAATTCTACTTTTAAAGATGAATTATGCTGGGATTACAGCTTACAGGCTTAATTTTTAATAACCAAATGAAGTCTATTTAGATACACATTACATTGTATAGAGTGTCTGAATACAAATACCTATAGGTGTAACATATGATTATGATATCAGTTTATCTACCTTGCGAGGCTATCACTCCCATCCTAAATAACCAAGAAGGCTGACGGAGCTGTAGTGCTGTCATTAAATGCATTCTCTCATTCTCGGCTTCCTCTACAAAATAATTTTTCATGATAAAAAATTAGCAATTTATTAAAATTTTGGGGTAAGCATATTTCTATAAGTATAGATATTTATTTTTCTATTAACATTTATATATCTTTTATAAGGTTTTGTGTTTTGTTCATAATTTGCTGCATATTCTAGGACCATCCTTCTAGGAACTAACGATAATTGGTTACATTAACTTGCACTTATTATATAAGTTTATCGGATGTTTACCTAATAAGGTATGTATCCAACCATGATCCCGTTTGAGCCTGCGCAGTGAGTGTAAGTGTCGCGTCATTGCTGCCACCATTCCTGGAACTCCTGCTACTGTTTCCAAGAAGCATATACGTCTGTATAGTAAAATATATTATGTGATTATATTTATAAATCATATCTTAACTGTACATATATCTTGCAATTCTTTTAAACATAAACTAAACATATATTTTGACAACGATGACGTTTTACATTTTTGGGTTGTTAGACAGTACATATATATTTTCAGAACATTATTATCTGATCATGCTTATACGACGTTAAACCTGAATAATTAACCCTTTAAAATCCAACGTAACGTAAAGCATTATTTTACTGGAAAGATTCTAACTTATATCAAGATAGGGGCCTACACAAACATAATGCAGGAAAAACATACAGAATCCATTTTTTCTCTGTTCTTTCGCCCCAATTAAATCCTGTCAAGACATCAAATGAGTGTCGCAGGAGTTTTACAGATCGGAATGCAAGCTGTAAAGAAAAATGTTATCTCCGTTAATCGTTCAGAGATTTTGGTGTGGTGTTTGTTTGTTTTTATTATTATTATTCGGTTTTATTTCACCGTAATCTTAAATACACAAATGTATGTTAAAATTAGAAATTCAGAGTTTCCCTTTTTACAAGATTTCTCAATTATATTTCATAAAGCAATAAAAAAAAAACATACAAGTATATAAAATTTATGAGGGAAAATTCAGAACTATAGAAATTTTACAACTTTCTCAATTTCTTAGAAATATTATGCATCATTTACAACCAAAATAGGTCCAAAATATATACCAATAAATGCATCCAGTTTTTTTAAATAACAAATTCATGACAGTTTCCCATTTTACACGATTTTCTCAATTATATTTCATAAAGTGATTTTAAAAAAAAACATATATGTACTTACATTTAGAAGGGAAACGGCAAAAATTTAGAATTCTTCACATTATAAAAAAATTTACAAGTACCCTTAATTCTTTTTTATCCCTATCAAATTTTCCATCATAAATGAGGAGATTGTGAATCGTCAAGTTACGAAATCTAACGTCCAAAAATTTAAATTCAGAATTTAGCTTATTTAAATCATAATATAAGAGTAATTGTGTTACTAACAGAACAACGGGATGCTTATAAGAAGCATTACAGTGTTGAATGCTGGGATATTTCTCTCCCCCTTTTACAATAGACAGTTCAACAAATATTTAAATAATGGTAACCAGTACAAGTTCACTAATTCATTGACGGGGACTTGCTTACTTTGTCCACGAACCCCTCCGGTGGTTTGTGAGTGATTTCAACACTGTGGAGTTCATCTTCGGTCCTAATGGCGAAGAAATAAATATGAAACTAGCTGTTAATATCTACAAACATTCTCTAAAGACATTTGTTGCATTATTTCTCACAGTTAGAAAACAGATTTGACACATATTAATGTAGTACACTTCTGCTTTTATAGCATTATAAATTATTTTTATCAATAATTACCAAATAGGATGTGGAAGAGTGTGAGTGCCCATAGGGGGAGGATTCTTTATTTCCTCTACAGCAACTTCTGTTGACTGGGATTTCCTATTAAAAAAAAATACTTCCTGGAATGCTGAGCTTAAAATAATTGAAACAAATACATACTATCTTTACCTCGAATGCCATTCAAGTTACCGATTTTTTCCTATCATCTGCCACTAGATGGTATTACTGCATTTGATTGGTAGATGGTATTACTACATTTGATTGGTAGATGGTATTACTACATTTGATTGGTAGAGGGGTGTCGAGTCAGATCATTTTCTTTTTCCTCTTGCAGAACAGAAGATCTGCCTCTCGAAAACTTAATTATTTAATATTTTCATGAAGGGGAAGGGGGGGGGGGCAACATTCAAGATCAAAGGTCAGATTTATTTCCTTCTTAGAGGAAACCAGATTATTTTATTTTTTTCAAATTTTTAAGGACGTATTATTTATTTCCATTTGCCACCTCTTCTCTCCCCCCTTAACCCAAGAATCAATTAAATGTAAATTGTAAAATCATTTATTTTCGAGGGGTCAGAATTTCGTGGTTTGAGGAAAAATTACTGGTTCAAGGGGATTTGTTTTTTGCGATTGAAGGGGACACATCTTACAGACGTAAGAAATTTTAATATTTCGTAGACATGAATTCGTGGCTGTTGGCCTCTATATTTCACCAAACAACGGAAATTAAACCTTAACGAAAATAACTGATTTTACAGTAGTTGTCCCCTAGGAAATTGACATTAATATTTAGGCCCGTATCAACGGTTTCAAAAGGGGGCAACTTCCCAAAATTATCTGACAAGCAAAAAAAAACTAATTTACTGTCTAAATCCTGGAATTTGCCAGTGCTTGGTCCTACAACATCAAAAAGTATGGGGGGAGGGGGCAACCAGCATCTGTACGAAAATGTACTATAGTAAATTAGAATATTTTTTTTTAGAATATTTATTCAACCAACCTAGACATGAAATCTTATCTTTATCTAGAGTAACAGAAACAGAATTATCATTGAAAATACTTGGGAGGTCATGAAGCTTAAGTGAAGTGAAGAGACTACCCCCCCCCCCCCCCCCCCGAAAGAGGTTCCTGGATCCGCGCCTGTCTTCATACCACTAAACAACGAAAATTAAGCCCCTGCGAAAATAAATAATTTCACTGAATTTTGACCAGTCTTCATAGGATCCATTAAAATATCCCTGTTGCATACCTTATTCATCGCTAACAAAAAAAAAATGTTGCATCTAGAAACTGAACAACTCTGCGCTTTTGATAATGCAATGATATCAAAGAACTGACTGCAATGTAATACTGACCGGAAGTGATCAAGGTGAGCAGGGTCCGGGATTTTTTCAAAGTTTCCCTTCTTAATTTTTTGGATGTCATCAATGTCAGCTTTTGTTGTCATTTGACGCAACTAATTAAGATAAAAATATTTTGGCAATAAATTAAGAATCGGAATCGGGAATCATTTTGATTATATACACGGTTTGATCAAAGAACTTCAGTTCAATTTTCGATTTAAAAAAAACAAACATCAGATAAATAAGCCATATGTTTACAATTTCATTCATTTAAAACCCAACCAATTATAATTAATCAAAATTTAATTTACAAATTATTTTTTACATTGTTTAACTCGAGTGAGAAAAGAATTTTTAAAGTTGTAATAATTATCACGTTCACGAGAGAGAGAGAGAGAGAGAGATTCTTACCCCATTGTTTGTGCGAAGTCCAGTGATTCTGACCAGAAATGAGGCTTTTTCTACATCCTGAAGCTGTTTACAGATTGACCATGCTCCGTTTTCACACAATTTAGAAATCAATCGTAAACTTCCCATATCACATTAATATGTCACTATTTCCACTTTTAAAATTGTTGAAAAGGATATTTTCTTGAAGATACAAAAATGTAAGGGCATTCCTCTTTAAATATTATTTGTTGCACGCAATTCCCTTTGATTAACCCTAAGCGCAAGCGTAGACGCTGTATTTCGTCACGATATGCTATATTTAGTATGTCCTTTCACAAGCTAGTGCCACTAATAACTAATTCTGTGGCACCCATTCTCTCAAAATACTGATGTCATGTTATATTTTGTAATATTCTTTTAAATTTTATTAAAAATTTAGACTGTCCTGCATTATATTTAATATACTTTAAATGTCCTTTGTCGACCTTGTTTACATTCCCTAAGAGGCTCCAACAGGGAAGTGACGAAATTCCACGTTTTCCTTTCATCATCCTCACGTTCGAGTACCCGATTTGAATGATGATGAAAATGTGTTTTAAGAAAATTCTCGACAAATATTTTGAGCATTGCTATACAGTGTGTGTAAACATGACTTGCCAAATCATGTATTTATACTTGCTGTGTATGACCGTTAAAATAGCTTATAAGGATGTAGAGTAAATTACGAATTTCCTGGGTTGGTGAGAGTTCGTACAGATGAATTAGCATTAAGTCACTTATTTCTCTTTATTATACTGATGGTTACTCTTTCTCTTCACGGGCACCTAGCATAAGAACCCCCACTCCCTATACACCGAGAAAAAGCAATAATTAAAAGACTAAATTCAGGCCCATAAAACGCGGGGCGGCTCCACACACCATACTCTACTTTTTTCCGAGTATATTTAGTATTTTGCTAAAGTAAATTTTCCTTTAGATGCTGTTTGACCCCCTCACTTTTTGTTGCTGTTAGGTCGAGCACTGGCAAATTCCAGTAAATGATTCTTTTTTCTTGTCAGATTATTCTGGGAAGTTGCCACCCCATCCCCCACTTTTTGGTATTTTTCTAGGAAGTTACCCCACCCACCTCACTTTTGAAACCGTTGCTACGGCCCTGTAAATAGTTCATTTATTTTTCTAATACTATGAAAAAGACCAGAGAGCACTGTAGTGTCTTATCACATTGCAAATAATCAATATTCTGTAAATGATATATTACGAATTTAATATAGATTGTCTTCTGAGGTGGGAAATTGAAAAATTCCAATTTGGTCAAAAAAAATTCAATATCAGTCATCGATGTGTAAAATTGATATTACTTCAATAAGCGGGGTTTTTTTTAGTGTCCTTGTGTTTTATTTTTCCTGCTGCCATCACTCCTCAGTAGTTTTCAATCGAAGACATGTCGGACGTTCTGTTATTGGCTTACGATTTATGTAAGAAGTTCAACATCTCATTTCATAGTGTCCTTGAACTTTGAACTATGACAAAGGTTAGATTTAGATGTTTTACTGACTATATATTAGACGATAAACTAACAATTATGGCAAAAGAGACAACTTCAGCTTTTTCCATCGTCAACTTTCCTTATTTGTCCCCTACCGGTGAAACCGGATGGGACTATAGGTTTCCTCCTCGTCTGTCACTCTGTCTGTCTCACTTGATTTCCCGCACTTTTTCCTAAACGCTTGCAGATATTGAGCTGATTTTTGGTATGTGAGTGTATCTTGATGAGTTACAGATCAATTTTCAATAATGATTTTTGACGAAAATGTTTTTTTTGATTTATTTTTAAGGACTTTCCACATTTTTTTTCTAAACGCTTGTAGATACTGAGCTGTTTATTGGAATGTGAGTTAACCTTGATGAGTTATAGACCAAGTTTGCACTTTGTTCCGCTTCAATGATTTCTTACGGAATTATCACTTTGTTAGCAAATACAACATATCATTAGGTCGTACTTTGGCTGACGGTTTAAAACCAATTGTTAGGCATTTGTTACGCTAAATTTGAATCAGAATATTCCGTCTATCTGATCAATATATAGGACTCACCGCTGGTGACCAGTCAACAGGGGATACTTACTCCTCCTAGACACCTGATTCCACCTCTTAATATTTCTTAATGTTTAATATTTCTTATTGTTTTATGCTCTGTCTTGTCTGCAGATTTTTTTTAGATGATCACCGTTCATTATCTTACTTTTTCATTAGATACAACTTCAGATCAAAATCATTGGATAATTAATTACTTTTAAAAGCTTCAAACCAATGGTTTGAACATTATTTCAGTTTCAGTTGCACAATAAACTCAACTTTTAAGATCTACACTTCATTCAAAATTAGGAGAGATTTTGACAATTAAACCATTCTTCTCATTATATATACCGTATGAGCAGAAATTTTTGCGAGGATTCAATTTTGGCATTTTAGCTAGGGTGCTGAGATCGCTGAACTTAAATACCGCTAACAATTTATTCCGCATTTTGTCTTGTCAAACAGACAACTGCATATATCTCATCAGTTGTAAAGTTTGTTCCAAAAAGAGTTATCTCTTTTGAAAAATTTAAAATTTAAAGTAAATCGAAAAACTCTCTCACTCATGTATACGTCATGCATAAGACCGCAACTAGAATATGCTTCAGTGGTATGGGGATGCTGTCAATATAGTGATCACGATAAGTTAGAAAAACTGCAACTTTATGCTGCTAGAATTGTTACAGGGTTAACAACAATAGCTTCCAAAGATTCACTCTCCTTTGAAACGGGATGGGAACCTCTTAGTTGTAGATGACAAGAAGCTAGATTAAAAACGATGTTCAAGCTTCATAATAATATTTTAGTGCCTGATTACTTAATGGATGGTTGGGGGAAACGGGAGATCTCCACAGGAGAATCAATAATCACCGTTCGAACATTAAGACTAAGAAATTCAATGAACCCGTTGGGGAACACTTTAACCTTGAAGGTCATAAATGGGAGGATATGACCGTAGTGGTTATTGATCATAATCCGAAATGGACCGATGTTCAGAGAAAAGTCAAGGAAAAGTTCTGGATGCACAGACTGAACAGGTCGAGGAAACTATTTTCTGTGACTCAGAATAAATTTACATGCGAAATGAGGCACCAACGTGACTGACAAACCGACCAATCGGTTAAATGAGTTGCATTATGGGTTGCTACAAAATACTACATATACGTTTCGAAAAGGCCAGCTTTTTCAAATAGCTTTTGGAAAGACGTGATGCATTTATCCAAACATTTTACACATTTAATACAATATGTACATCATTATCTACTAATTCCATGCTCACATTTACAAACAATTGTTTTACAACGGTACAATATGGGTTTTCTACATTCCATTGCACAAGTCCGTTTGTTGACTATTGCCTGACAGCTTTTCCCGTGCTGCTGTATCGATGAATGTGAATTTCACGTGACTATATTTCCTGGTGCAAAACAATCGACTCTGAGGTGTACTCACATATAGTCATTGTGTACTACAATATATATGCTACTCAATACACGCTCTATGATCAATGTTCATGAGAATTAATGTGTAATACATGAGAATTACTGTGAAAAATAGATAGCTTGCAATAAACGTATGTTTATTTATATTTTACTTTTATTCGTGTTACAAGGAAACATAGGTAATCAGAGATTACAGAGCTCACCTCAACGAATGTTGTCTTTAAGTAAGGCAAAGTCCCACACTAAACTAATAATCTAGGAGTGTGCATCCCTAGATGCAACATTTATGCAATTTTGGTTTGATAGGGCTTGCAGTTACTTGGGAGTGGACTTATCTGAAAACTTAAAACTAGTCACTCATTCAGAAAATGTAAGTCAAATCCAGCATCCGAAGTTTTGAGATTGTTCGTCCCTTGATGCATCATCCATGCAAGTTTGGTTCAGATAGGCCTTATAGTTACTTGGAAATGAGATCTGCTCCAAAAACTTTAACCTGGTCACTCATCCGGAAAATATAGGTCAGATCCAGCATCCGAAGCAAGTCAAGTAGTGTGCATCCTTAGATGTATCATCCATGCAAGTTTGGTCAATATAGGGCTTATAGTTAGTTGGAAATGAGATCTACTCCAAAAACCTTAACCTAGTCACTCATCCGGAAAATGTAGGTCAGATCCAGCATCCGAAGCAAGTTCAGTAGTGTGCATCCTTAGATGTATCATCCATGCAAGTTTGGTCAATTTAGGGCTTATAGTTACTTGGAAATGAGACCTGCTCCAAAAACTTTAACCTGCTCCAAAAACTTTAACCTGCTCCAAAAACATTAACCTGGTCATTCTTTAGCTGAAATTGCAGCATCTGAAACCTTGACTGGTACAATGAAACACACTAGAAGCATCCTCCATGCATCTCTGACTAATATAGGCCATAGAAGTACTTGAAAAGAAAACTGCTCCAAAAACCTTAACCTGGGACGCCGACGCCGACACCGACATCGACGCCGAGGGTATTACATAAGCTCCCCCAACTTCGTTGAGGTGAGCTAAAAATTGTAAGTCAGTCAGTCACGTTGGTGCCTCATTTCGCATGTAAATTTATTCTGAGTCACAGAAAATAGTTTCCTCGACCTGTTCAGTCTGTGCATCCAGAACTTTTCCTTGACTTTTCTCTGAACATCGGTCCATTTCGGATTATGATCAATAACCACTACGGTCATATCCTCCCATTTATGACCTTCAAGGTTAAAGTGTTCCCCAACAGGTTCATTGAATTTCTTAGTCTTAATGTTCGAACGGTGATTATTGATTCTCCTGTGGAGATCTCCCGTTTCCCCCAACCATCCATTAAGTAATCAGGCACTAAAATATTATTATGAAGCTTGAACATCGTTTTTAATCTAGCTTCTTGTCATCTACAACTAAGAGGTTCCCATCCCGTTTCAAAGGAGAGTGAATCTTTGGAAGCTATTGTTGTTAACCCTGTAACAATTCCAGCAGCATAAAGTTGCAGTTTTTCTAACTTATCGTGATCACTATATTGACAGCATCCCCATACCACTGAAGCATATTCTAGTTGCGGTCTTATGAATGACGTATACATGAGTGAGAGAGTTTTTCGATTTACTTTAAATTTTAAATTTTTCAAAAGAGATAACTATATGAATAATGAATAATGTATATGAACAAATTCTGAAACAAAACAATATTTATTGCATTTTTACATTAAATTTAAGAAGACACAACTGGCATGAAATATTGCAATGAAACATCATCATGCAGCAGAAAAAAGTGGACAACTTTTCTTCGTACAATATCTGAAAGAAAAAAGAAAAACCTCTTTGGGGATCATTTTTCAAGCTTATAATGCTTAATTGAAAGAATTTCTTTAAGATTCTTAACAAGCAAATCAGAGTAAACCCCATTCCCTCAACCCCCCCCCCCCCCCGTATGTTTCAACTTGCAACTTTTTTTTATTATTATACACATTTTTACATTCTAAAAAATTTAGTATTCTAAATAATAATAAGTATAAACTTAAATAATTATGCAAAAACCCACAAGAGTTCAAAGATCTTGACAAAATTCCAAGGCCTGCTCCTACATCTAAACAAAGCATTCCTTATCCTGCTCGTAAGTGAAAAACCTGCTCCTAAGTGCTTAAAAAACATTGCTTGACCTACTTTTAAGTGCGAAATAAAACATTCCTTGACCTACTCCTACGTGCTAAATAAACCATTCCTTGACCTGCTTTCAAGTGCTAAATAATCATTCCTTGAGATGCTCCAAAGGGATAAATAATTCCTTGACCTGTTCCTAAAAACAAAACATTCCTCAACCTGCTCCTATGCTCTAAATAAAACATTCCTTGACCTGCTCGTAAGTGAAAAATAAAACATTTCTTGATCTGCTCCTAAGTGTTAAATAAGACATTCTTTGACTTGTTCATAAAAACAAAAACAAATAAAACTAATCATCAACCTGCTCCTAAGTGCTAAAAAACATTCCTTGACCTACTTTCAAGTGCTAAATAAAACATTCCTTGACCTGCTCATAAGTGCTACACATGTAAATATTTAATAAACCATTCATTGACCTGCTTTTCAGTGCTAAATAAATCATTCCTTGAGCTGCTCCAAAGGGATAAATAATTCCTTGACCTGCTCCTACAAACAAAACATCCCTCAACCTGCTCCTATGCTCTAAATAAACATTCCTTGACCTGCTCAAAAGTGTTCAATAAAACATTCCTTGATCTGCTCCTAATTGCTGATTTAAACATTACTTGGCCTGCTCCAGAGTGCCACATAAAACATTCTTTAACCTGCTCCTAATTGTTGATTAAAACAATCCTTGACCTGCTGCTCCTACATGTTAAATAAAATATTCCTTGACCTGCTCCTAAGTGTTCAATAAAACATTCCTTGACCTGCTCCTAAGTGCTATAAAATAAATCATTCCTTAATCTACTCCTTTAGAACTAAATAAAAATTCCTTGACCTTCCCCTGAATCTAAATAAAACATTCCATGACCTGTTCCTAGGCACTAAATAAAACATTCCTTGACCTGTTCCTAGGCACTAAATAAAATATTCCTTGACCTGCTCCTAAGTGCTTAATAAAACTTTCCTTGATCTACTCCTAAACATTTAAAAGGATATCCTCAACCAGGAAGGATAACTCTTAAATGTATTTTTTTTATTCAAAAAGTCTCGAAATGATGCTTGAAACTGAGATCTTTTTGTGCAACAATTTTCATTTTATCTCAATATGATTAAACGTTCTTTGAAGTCTTAGAAACGGTCTTGTAGAAAGTTGACATTTTTATCCCATAAAAGAAAAAAAAAATCATTTTTAGAGAAAGTGAATATCCTTTAATCTAGCATTAGATACTAAAGCTTATTAGCATGGTATGAAATTAGACATGACATATGATGTCTAGCAATGCTAGCACAAGCTCTGTGAAATCAGAGACATTTTTGTGAGCATTTTCAATTACTTAAAAGCTGATTTTCAGAACCTGAGGATCAGACTACCATAAATAAAACATTCTTGACTTGCCCCAAAGCACTTGACTTGCTCATAACCTCTAAATAAAACATTCCTTGACCTACTCCTAAGTGCTGAATAAAATACTTACTACAGATGACTTTGGTTGGGTTGACTTGCTGACCGGATAAGAACTGGGCAAACTTCCGGATGTCAATCCGAGCCTCCGCAAATTGCTGTGGATCAGAATTTGATCCATCACTGCTTTGTGAGCTGAGTACTTTATCTCTACCTACAAAAACAATTCCTCGAATTTCACAATCAATGTTTGAACACCAGGAGCAGTGGTAATAAATTACTGGTAACAGATCTGTACAGATCAGGAGAACATCATAATCATTCAGTTGCACATTCTTTTTTTTTTTAGCATTAATACTTGGTCATCATATATACTGCACAATCAATCAGATGCAAAATGAACTGTTCTGTTATCTAAATTAGACTAAAATAAAAAGCAAAGAAAGAGGTTAAGCCAACAATAAAAAATGATTTGTTTGATGTGTTCAGACCAACCCATCAAAATCGCCCCTACCCATCATTTTCAATACTTTGAATTTTAATTTTGTTTTTTGTTTTTTTTGTTTTTTTTTTGTTTTGGTTTTTTTTTTGGGGGGGGGGGTTGTTTTTTGTTTTTTTGGTTTGTTGTTGTTGTTGTTGTTGTTTTTGTTTTCCAGAGAAATAGAGATTTTCTCAATTTAAAATTAAGGTTTTTAAAAAAAAAATGACTGAAAGTTTTTATCAGTTTATAACAATGAAAATTAAATCTGTCTAAGGTGACCCTGCCTAAATGTCCAGTGAATGAAAACATCAATAAATTTCTTAGTCTGTGTTTTTATTATAATAATTAATTTGCTAGCAACTGCCAAAACAAAATTACCTATCTACCTACTCTCCTTGAAAATGGTGGGTCAGAGTACATCAAACAAAAATATTTTTAATGATGGCCTTATGTATTACTGTACATCAAATGAGAGATGACATACTTTTCACTGATTATTTATAAAGGTTTGAATGACCTTTAAAAGTTTCATAGTTTTCTTTATTTACCCAAATATTCAAAACATTAGTTCCTTATACAGTTTTATCTCACTTCAAACTTTACCTGAGTCCATCTTTAAAAAAAATGTTTGTTTGGAATTGCCACTTGGAGTTTTCAGACCCAGTGAGGGATTTTTTTTTTTTGAAGGTTAAATTTTAAAAAATGATGAAAAATAAAAATTTCAATGAACAGTGCTGATTTTGATTACTTTTCCTCTTTCTTTTATCTTATTCATATAATTTTTATTTAATTTTGAAATAAATATATATACAAAGGTAATCAAATATCAATCTAATGAAAATTAGATGCTAAATCTGCTCATTTATTAGAAGTCAAATTTCAGCGTCAAACTTCAAGTTTTAAAAAAAAAAGGATAATTTTATCAGTCTATCTCTTAGGATTTCTCCTCCTTTGTCAAGACAATCCAGACAAACAGTAAGAACCACACAAAATTTCTTTAGAAGAAGGGGTTGCTTAATGTGATCTAGCATGTTTGCCATGCTGAATCAACTTTAACATTATGTTTCAAAGACTTGTCAGACTGACGGACAACATTTTTCCTTTATTATCAACGTCGGGATAAAACATTTCTGATCCATGTAATTTGGATGATAACTGAACTGAAAAACATTTTTAATTTCAACATGACGGACTTGTCCAGTTCAATTGCAATCTCTGTCACTATCTCTTTCCAGGTATTGTGTTTACTAAAACTGTATATCATTTCATTTATTTTAATTCACCATTCATTTTCATGGAGATGCATATATGCTCGGCTCTTCAAGGCTTGTACACTTCACATCCACAGGTACTTGGGTCTTGGTTTATCAATAAGGTACATACATATTTATAAACCAAGACCCAAGTACCTGTGTTCACATCCAGGAGATCTCAGTACTTGGCTACTTACTGACAGTACATGATCTCCTTCTCAGTACTTGGCTACTTACTGACAGTACATGATCTCACTCTCAGTACTTGGCTACTCACTGACTGTACATGATCTCACTCTCAGTACTTGGCTACTCACTGACTGTACATGATCTCACTCTCAGTACTTGGCTACTTACTGACAGTACATGATCTCACTCTCAGTACTTGACTACTTACCAACAGTACTTGATCTCCTCAGTACTTGACTACTTACTGACAGTACATGAACTCACTCTCAGTACTTGGCTACTTACTGACTGTAAATGATCTCACTCTCAGTACTTGGTTATTTACTGACTGTACATGATCTCCTTCTTCTTTTTAGTTGACTACTTACTGACTGGGTTGACCAGGTCTCTGAAATGTGTGGTAATGGACACCATGTCTGTCTCTACCATCAATTTCATCTCCCCATTCTGATTAGCAGATAAAACCTTGGGGATGAGAAAATAAGTCAATAAAAGTTACACTAAATCATGCTAAATATTGCAGATAGGACATTTAATAGGACAAACTAGAAACGTACACAGGGTTGTCCCTGGGACTCAGTGGCCGGGGAATCCCTCCTATAATGACCTTATACCCCAATTACTCTGGTATTCCCCCTCAACCCTGTGTTAGGGGAGGAACCCCAGACCCCCTTCTACCTTTTAATGTCCCCTACTATTTCAATTCTAAGGGACAACCAAGCCATAGGACATGAATGCCCTGCCCTGCCCAGGGATCAACAGTAACGCAACTAAATTTGTAAGTGGAATATGATGAAAATACCTTGAATAGTTTCTTTGAAACGGAGTTCAAAGGTCATTGGTAAGATCTGGGTAAAAAAAATGGAAGCTTCTGACAAGACTGTAGCTCTACTGGTTTCTACTTGTAACATGGAAATAGAAAAGTAGCACTTGGACTTGAAACTTTGCAAAAGCAATGAATAGCGTAATGATCCTGGTTTAGTCTACTTTTGTGGCAAGATATATTGCATTCAGACTAAAACTGTAGGAGGTGTAACCTTTTGAAAGAATTTTACAGAAATTTCTATTTTTAGCAACCATGGCAACATCATTCATAAAAAAAAAATGATATATAGAATTATGCATCTCATTATAGTCTATTTGTAAGCTAAGTTATATTAAAATCAGACCAATCTGTAGAGGAAGTAGTGTTTTTTTAAGTATTTCACAGAAATTTCTATTTTTAGTAACCATGGCAACACTATTCATCGAAATCAAAAACCAATATATAGAATTGTGTATCTGAGTGTAGTCTACTTGTGTGCCAAGTTATATTGAAATCAGATCAAAACTGTAGGGAGAGTGACATTTTCAAAAAATTTCAAAGAAATTTCTGTTTTTAGTAACCATGGCAACACATCTCATGGAAATTAAAAGCTGATATACAGAATTATGTATCTTAGTGTAGTCTACTTGTATGCCAAGTTATACTGAAATCAGACCAAAGTTGTAGGAGGAGTACCATTTGGAATAATTATTTACAGACAGACAGGCAGACAACAGATGACTTATTATTGCATAAGCTCTTCTGGTCAAGGTCAAAAGATTTTGATGGAGTTCAATAGCACGAACAAAAATGTATCAGCAAATGAAGTTTGATAAAAATACATGTATCTTGATTTTTTTTTTTTTTTAAACTGAGCTTAACATTAATTTGAGAAAATTAAAGTCAAGTTCAAAGAAGAGGTCAATGTAAAAAAAATATTGATGAAGTTGATAAGCTCTCAGCATACAGTATGTAATTTGATAAAAAAAAATATCTTGAATAGTTTCTTTCAAGCTGAGCTAAACATAAATTTAAGAAATGTGAAGCCAATGTCAAAGAAAAGGTCAAGGTCAAAAAATGTTAATGGAGTTGAATAGTTCACATTAATACATATCAGCATATATATTTTCATAAAAATATCTTGAATAGTTTCTTTGAATCTGAACTAAACACAAATTAAAGAAATGTGAGGTCAAGGTCAAACAAAAAGTCAAGGTCAAAAATTGCTCATGAAGTTTATAGTTCTCAGCAATATGTATCAGCATACAAGGTTTGATAAAAAATATCTTGAATAATTTCATTTATTTATTTATTTATTTTTTGAAACAGCTAAATACAAATTTTTGAAAAGTGAGTTCAGGGTCAAAGGAAAGTTTGTAGACAAAATATGTTGATGCAGTTGAATAGCTCTCAATAAAATGTGTCAGCCCATGATGTTTGATAAAAATATCTCTAGTTTCTTTGGAACCCATCTTAATATGAAGTGTGACTGAAGGAGTAGAACGGACAGAAGGATATGATAAAAGGACGGAAGACGCACATGACATACACTATATGCCCCAGCCACATTCATGGTGGGGCATAAAAATAAGATGGATACATGTATTTTGTATTCTAATAGGTGGATTTACAGTAATTTTAAGAAATAATTTGGAATTTGCAATGAAATGACATGACATAATCCTACAGTTTAATGTTCATAACAAATGCACATAAAACACTTCTCTGTGACAAAGCCTATTCTGTCAATCAAACGACATGTTAACTGCATGTACTGAATTATAATTAAAAGGAAGTGAGTTTTTACTTCTATGGTGATTTGCTGTATCTGTGTTCTACTTTATTAGAATTAAAATATTACAAACCACAAAATTACTGAGATTCTTCATCTTGTCTACAACATTTTTCAGTAACTTCAGCTGTGGCATGGCGATAGTAACCTTACAAAATACATTAGATCATGATTATACACAGATTGGTCATCACTCAAATAAATTACTTTTTAATTACCAATTCTCTCTCAAGGTGCATTAAAATTGAGAACAAGAGGCCCTAGTTCTCAATTTTAATTGAAGGCCAACACTGCTCCTTTGAGCAACATTGCACTTTTTGACAGGGTTAAATATCATAAAATATTTTTATTGTCACTACTAAAAACTACAATTTCCACACCTGTTTCAATTTACCTACTAGATAACTTTGACCTTTAACAATATATCAAATTAACTCTTTTCATAGCATTGATTAACGTATATTTCATGTATGCATCATTTCTAGTTTCTAATTACATCAAACTGTGGTACTTCAGGTTCCTCGTAGTCGACCCAGTTTCTGCGAGGAATCACCGTCACAGGGATATCGTGCACAACAGTTCTAGAGTGAGATGATAATGTGGGCTGAAATGATTTCCAAAAAGTTCTATCTGGTAAAAAGCTAAATAATCTTGAAAATTTCAATATTCAAATTTTACAACCAAAAACAAAATTATAAAAGCTAATCCAGTCCTTTCTTTTTTATCTTCATATATAACTTATTTACTAGTGTACATACATGTTGACATGTATACTAAAATAATTATCACAAAGTAAATAATTTACACAGATAAATATCTTAACATGAAATTTAATCAATTTGTTTGAGATAAGACAAAAACTTTCTTACTAAATCCACTTCAAATGTCAGACAAGGAGCATGTTTCTTGGTCAATTTAATCTTGATCCATTTGGCATTCTGTGCTGTCTTTAGGGCTTTTATCAGGTTCTCAGGTGCAACTTCAAGAAAAATTTCATTGGCCTCTTCTGATACACCCTCCATGGCATATTCATCAAAGAAATGACCCTTAATAAATGTTTGACACATAAATGCACTTCTTCATCATTTAGGATTTGAAATTTTTGGGGCTGTTGGATAACAGAGAGATTCATTATTCAGGATGTTAACTATTACATCTAATTACACTATGCAGAGGATGATTTTGTTAACCATTGATTGCATATATTATGTCATCTGATCAAAACTGAATTAGTTTGAAACTATTTCTATGGTTACATAAATGACCATCAAGATATGTTAACATGGTTAAACAGTCACACAAAAATTGTGACAGGACTATCATCTCATTTAGCAGTCTTAAAATGCTGTGGACATTTGATTTACTTTTAATATAAAAAGTTGGAGTAGTAAAATCTGTTCAAAATATTGAAATACATTAAGAAATATAAAAAGATTTACCTGAGGAAGCTCACACCAGATATGTACCCCTCCATTAACCAACTTCTCTGACAAAATGAAGTACCAGTTACCAGGGGTTATTCTTAGAACACATACTTTTATCAACTTTGACAATGTACCAATGATTCCTGAAAACATAATATATACATTGTATGTAAATTGATGCAAAAAGAAATGAGTTCACAATAAGATACATAACCAATCCATCATTAAAACAGTTTCATGGTAGCAGACTGCAATTACTATGTAACAGGAAAGGAGAAAATGTGTGGCTGGTTTGGGAATTAATTGAACCCAGGACCCCTGCAACACAAGTCAGGTGCTCTCACCACTGAGCTATCCAAGCTGATATCCATGCCCCAAACCATTACATTCTTCCCTCCTTAAATTACCTTCATCCTCAAAGACACAACCCAAATTCTTTTTGCCCCTGGCAGTGGCAGGACTTTCACCCAGGAGTCCAGGGATGGTCAATGGCACAAAATTATGCAACATGAAAGAAAATGTGTTATTTGTGTATCTGGATTGGGAATCACCTCTGCTCTCACCTCTGAGCTACCCAGGCTAATATCCATGCATGGTCCAATTACACAAATAATGGCAAGAAATTGGTACTGTATTTTAAAGGTGATACTTTGTACCCTAGGGTACATCTTCTATATCTTTATGGGGAAGAAAAGGGTTACAAAAAGGGTAGAGTACAAAATCATTGAAAATGAAAGTAGCAAATTATCCAAGGTACAGACTCAAAGTCACCAAGGTAGAGTCATAAGAGTGGGTACAATGGTTACATATTGCTTGCTTGCCATTGGCTAATTACAGTTCAAGTCCATGTCCACCTGCCATTGGCTAATTACAGTTCAAGTCCATGCCCACCTGATACCTTCTGTCTTCTTACAAAAAAGGGGTGGGACAGCCAATCTCTCACCATAGGGCGTATTACGCTATGCTACAACACCTCTGGCAACGTCTAAATGCCAAGATTCTAGGCAAAACTTACTTTGACCTATTGCATAACAACTTATAAATTTTAAAGTTATATATTGTAGATTGGCAAATAATCACGATGGTTTTAATTTCACTTCATACGTTCACGATTCATCATTTTTCAGCGAAATTAAACCTAACGTGAATGCCATCATTAGTTTTTAAAAACGTTTAAATGCTTATAATTAATTTCTTGCAGCGTGAAATTAAAACCATTGCGATTGGTACTTTTTGAGAAATCGTGAAATTTTAACATCATGGAATTAAAATGACCTACAGTATTTTAGCTTTAAAATTTAAGGTAAAGTTTGTTTATAAAAAATAATATTAAAAAGATATATCTGTATCACCGTATTTTACAAGGGATTATTTCTCAGAATAATAAATATCTCGGGATATTTCATCACTAGACAGATCTGGAGAATGTGGAAAATTTTAAACACATTGCCGATGAATATCAACATGGTTTAGTTTTAGACAAAACAACTTGTAGCATTGACATATACAGAAACGTAAGGTAATACACTTGTTAATCTTCCTGTAATAAAGGCCACATGTCTCCGTTTTCCATACTACTTTTTAGATGTTGACAGAGGTATTAGTGGAGCGAAGCGGGAACGATAACTCGGGTAGAGATTGTGACACAGTCTTAGGCCTGTTCAACAGAGTGAACGTTCGCGAGCGCTCACCAAAATTCCTTATCCCTTCAACAGAAATGTTCGCGAGCACTCGCTCTGTTGAACAGGCCTCTGAATTCTATGCAAGTGCTTTCCCTTGCTATAAATATCAATCGGGGCCCAAAACACAATAGGTATCAATTCCTTGTCATATCCTGAGGCAATTCCTGCTGGTACGCATGGAAAGTATCCTTAAGCGACCTAATTTATTGATATCAGTAGTTGAACCACAGGCACCTGAAATTTTATCAATAGTTGAAAATAAAACCCGGGATCGGGGTGGGATTTTGGATTTAGGGTGTCATTTGAAACTAATTAACAAATTTAAGATGCCTGTGGTAGAGCGACGCTCTGAAGACTATTTATTTGCGTTTGAAAGCAATGTGTTACTTGTGAAATGCTGAATACACCCTATGTCGGCTATTTTCCCCCTGAATCTCATTGTAGAAAGTGTTTACATTCTGGCGCCCTTCATCTAAAATTAAAACCAAATGATTAGACAATTTTAAATTCCGAAAAGTGAGGTTCAGTTTCCTTTTAGAAATCAGTTAAATAATTTGAAATATTGTGGCTTAAAAGAAAATTCAATAACTGAAAAAAAGTTTAGAAATTTTTGGAAATGACATTTAAAATACACATTTTTTTTTATTTTATCAATCCAAAAATATACAAACATGTATATGATACGGATCAAGCGTCAGTTTAACATTGACAATTTGTAAACATTTTCTTTGCATGATTAGAACTTACTGTTTTTTTCTACCATGTCTGCGAGGTTAAGAAGTCCAGTGAGGGACAAAAGAATTATAAATTTAGCAGCTGAAATTGCAGAAACAAAGGACAGAGGGACTCCCATACTTCTGTTGAATTTGAGAGGTAACCATTTGTTAAAAGATGCCTATTGTACAGACAAGTTTGGTCTTGAATGCTATGAAAAGATTTATGCTTTTTACTAATTAGATAAAATTGATAAATTGTTTTCTTAAAAAATTTAATTGTGTAAATCTTATGCCCTGATGCAATTAAGTCCTCTTACCGTTAAACATGGTTTTTGACAATATCAATTCTCATTGAAAATCAACGTAACCAGGTCCAGCACAATCTCTTGATTTAGCTATATAGCTTGAAAAAGCTATATAGCTTTATTAAGCAATTCAAAATAGCTTGATTAAGCTGTTTATGTGCAGTTTTTCAGAAAAATGTGTTTTGTAAGAAATGCACAAAAAGTCGCAAGTATTTGACTATTAAATTCATATATGTACTGTGGGCTATCAAAACAACAACCGAAATCAAAGTTAGTTCTAACATTGCAGCATTTGAATACTTTTAAGCAAAAGATGAATTTCCATTGTTTGAGTAACTGTACACAACCTTGTGTGCGTTGAGGCGTGGATAAGTATGATTGCTTCTCATTGTATTGAATTATTACCAATCAATTATCTTGTTGACCATAGTTGGCCTCTTTTATAATTTCAGTGAAGAAGTAACTGTAGCAATTGCTTTATATAGCCCCAAAACTTTTAGAACTTTGAGTACAAAGTCTCTTAAGGAGATGTAATTTGATGAGTGATTTTTACATTATTTTCAGAAGAGTTCAAGGTTTAATATTATCACTGCACCAAGGTGCGACTTTTTGTGCATGCTGAGAAAATAACACATTTAAGAAAAAAGTGTGATAAAATAGCTAAAACAAGCTATTCTGAATAGCTTAATAAAGCTATATAGCTTTTTCAAGCTATATAGCTAAATCAAGAGATTGTGCCGGACCTGGTAACATAGAGCATGCTGAACTCTTATCCTTTAGATTATGATGTATTACGGTGACAAATTTCTGCCACCACTTGTCAGATGTTTATTTTGGTATCTTGTTATTAAAGCAAGTTAAAGCCAAAGACTGACATCTACGTGTCCTCATAATATCTGACAAGTCGACATAATTTTCTGACAAGTCAACATAATTTTCTGACAAGTCAACATCATTATCTGACAAGTCGGCATAATTTTCAGACAAGTCAACATGTCAGATGTTATGTCGACTTGTCAGAAAATCATGTTGACTTGTCAGACAATATATTGACTTGTCAGATCTTTATGTTGACTTGTCAGGTCTTTATGTTGACTTGTCAGATACTTTTGTTGACTTGTTAGAAAAATATGTTCTTGACTGATGGCCTAAACTGGGCATGGACAGGACACATTTTTATGTTGAATTTTCAAACATGTGAATAAGTGTCAAACTGACAATTTAACAAAAAGATCTGACAAATCAACATAATTATCTGACAAGGCAACAGAAAGATCTGACATGTTGACATAATTATCTGACAAGTGGGGAGGGGATGCAGAAATGTGCCACCATAACACATATCAAATCGTAGATTTTTTCTGAACAGAAATACTAGCTTCAGCACCAAAAGGAAGCAAGGATGGAATCAGAATTAGAAATGAGTGTTGGGAATTCAATATTCTCCAAGTGCTTGTGTTAATTCTGAAGCAGGATTTCAGCATTATTGATGGAGACTGGCAGACTGCAGCATCATTATCAGCTATTCTCAGGTGAGATATTCTCTATATCCTTGATAGTTCATTCTTTGGGATTCATTTAGTTCTTTGTTAAACATGTTAAATATTATAAAAACTTGATTCACATGTTTAAATTACACAGTGTTGTCTCTGTTTCTCTTGGTCTCTTCAAAATTCTTGTTTGCATGCAGATACTGAGTACTATGATAACACAATCATCTGGCCTTGGAGCACCTAGTTTATTAATTAACCCAGGGCTTAAAAACCTTTGCATCCAGGTCCGGTGAAAGGACCCTGTCCCAATTGAAAATTTTCTCAGCAAAAATTATTCTGTTATTAAAAAATAATGTGGTATTCATGGGATTCGAACCCTAGCAATAAAAATCCTGAGTGTAGGGTACATGTAGTGGTTAGCATGTTAGTCTTAAAGGAAAATGATACTCAGGATTTATCCTTTAATCCTTGAGACTACATGCCAACCACTAGGCTTCACAGCCCCTGAAGGATAAATTATGTTTGTGGTATGACCCTTGACTAAATGGACTTCAAGTTTTTCTCGGAAAGATGTGAATGTCTTGTCATAAAAATGTATTTTTAAGGTAAAGTGCTCCATGTTTTTGTTAACTAAAAAATGTACATTTTTATGCAAACTTTGAGGATAAAACTTCTGAAAAAATGGAGCAAAAACCCACTCATATATCAAAAAATTGTGTTATAGAATGAGAAAATGATCCCTTTTTGCCCTCTTTAGTGTGTGTATGCTATTTCATAGGCAAATAATTTCAATCTTTGTGAGATTTCTGCAAATTGTGGAAATTTTACATAAAGTATACTTTAATGTTAGATGAAATATGAAAGAAAATTTTGATATAATGTGATTTAATTTTTCACCTTCATGTTTGTCACACTATAGGCATTTGGCTCGTCTTGTTTGCCCTTCTTCTTAAAATGGTTTTGCTTCTAAAATTACAATAACGCATAACCATGCATGGCATTGAGTTCAGATTCTTTTACTTTCACTGGGTGAAAAACAAAATAAATTTGTGTTCAATATATATTTAATTTTATATTTTTTGTGTTTCAGTCAAATATGCCTTGGAATAGATCTTGAAGAAGAGTCCCAAAAGACAAAGTTTAATGAAGAATTTCTTCCCGAAGCCACCAATAATTTGTTTTTGGTCACAAGGAGGATACAAGCAAGGCATGGCAATATTCCAGACCGACCAGTATGTTCTTTGTTCTTCATAATTGACAATAATTTGTATTTTTATAAAAGGATATGATTAAATCTTACAGTTCCAAGATCACAAATCATAGACCAGAGTCAAAATTTCAATCATTTATAAAATAAATGTTTATCATAAACTGACACTTGAAAATTAAATAAGAGCTTGAAAGGGAAACAATTTAAAAATAAGTTTAAAATTTGATATCTTTTTCTCTGATAATATTTTAAGACAATGTAAAAATTCTGACTAAAGTCTAAAACTACATAATGATCCTTGGACTTAATACATGTTACTGTGCTTAATAGTTCTCAACAACAGAAAAAATATACCTAAATGTTTTTATACTCATAAATCTATTTTACTTTCGATCAGATTCACAGACAAAACCATTATAGTAGTACAATTTTAAGTATCAGATTTGTGTGGTATTTTCAGAGTCTACAAAAAGACCGACAGAGATTGATGATGTGCTACAAGGGAGTTTTAGAATCAATAGCTCAGATAACGTATGGATATCCAGACTTGGCCTCGGAAGGTTGGTGAAATAAAGATTTTATTCTCTGCAATGTGGTGCCAATTATGTGCACTCAGATTTTTTAAAAATGTAAGGCCAATGTCAAAAGACATTATATCAGGTAACTAAAAATACATAATGATGATCATTATAAAAGATGCATGTAATATATTTTCATCAAAAAATAAAAATATGAAAATATCAAAAAATCATGTCTCACTTGTGAAATAATTTTCACATCCAACTACAAAAAATTTAATATCTTCTGTAAATACCTGATACTTTAAAAATCATTTTTGGTACTTTTGAGGATACATATACAGTTGATTTCTGTTTGTGACAGTTTTGGAGAGTCCATGGCTTTTACAGTTACTAATATCTGATGATCCCAGTACAGTTTCAGGAATAATGGAGCTTCTCCCAAAAATTCTAAGATGCAACAAGTAAGGTTTTATTGTCAATTAATTGTCAGTTCATTTTCCTATCATGCATAGTTGTCACGAATATAATTATGTTAAATTCTTCATTTTCTCTCCTTTTTTTTTTTTTTTACATTTTTCACCTAAAAGAGTCATATAACTTCATTCAGTATGTGAAAATATTTCTCCTAATACATGTATAAAAAATGCATTTTTATATGTAAAGTTGTGCATTCCAAATTTAAAAAAAAATCCATAATAGTATTACTACAGCACTCCTATTCTCTCTATAGTCAAATATGAATGATTTGATCCTTTATTAACAGATTCTTCAATTCACTTTGATATTCATAAATCTATTCTAAATTTATTTTTTTTTTTAAAGAAATGTTATAAATAAAATTGACAAGAAACTGAAGTTCAGCATAATGGATGAACTGATTTACAAACTTACTGTCAACAAGGATGCTGGCATTGCCTCGTAAGTATTCATGTTTTATCGGACATTCTTCCAGACCTATCCTTGGTTGAATATGTTTAAAAACTTTCATTTTGTATGTCAATGTAACATTTTTGTATATTATACTTTTATAACTTCACCCAATCTTATTACATTTAATATGATAATGATTTTTTTTATAATTCCTACCATTACCTTAAATTTTGTTTGTAATTTTTCATTTAAAGATTAAATTCCAAATCAGAATATCAGGCAAGAGATTTTTTCTTGATTCTTTTTTCACAGGTCTGCTACCAAATGTGTCTTAAAAATCTGCGATATACATAAGCCAATGATTGATGTTCTTTGCACTAGATACAAGTAAGTCAGTCTTTTAATTTATCACAATTTTTTCCTATGGAACATTCTAACTTAAATACATATACATATACATAATTTTGTATATTACAAGTAGTATTTACATACATGTATGTAGATAGTCTATAGACTTGGGTTTCCATGCATGGATTTAAAAAAACAAAACTTCTTCATGATAAAAAAAAAAACAAACAATAACTTTGGATTGAGTAAAACTAACATCTTGAAATATTTAATTGATATCAAATATATAGGATCTCCCATGATTTGTAGTTGGATATGATTTTTATCCAACGAGTTGTGTGTTTTTATCCCCTAGCCTTGGCGAACACAACGAGTTGGATAAAAGTCATATCCAACTACAAATCATGGGGGATTCTTTTTATCCCATGTTTAATACTTCACAACCAATGTTTTACACTGTTTTACATAGGACTCCACTTTATTTTACTTCATCACGCTAACGCAAAAACCATTGTGACGTCACAACTGCACTTAACTGTGGGATATGAAAAAAATATCCAATGAGTCATATCCAGGGGATAAAGGGGTAAACATGGGATAAATAATAATTTTGGTTTGAATAAAATTAACCTGTTATATGTTTTATAGAGGATTGAAGCCTATTCTTAACAAATGGGAAAATGCGGGATTTGGTCGGGATCTACGGGAACTGATGATGATGTTACAGGCGGGAAATGCCAAACAAGCAGAATCTGAAGTAATCTCTCTCTCTCTCTCTTTCTCTCTCTGCATAAAACTATAAATGTACATTATGTACAGTGAAGAAAAAACACATTTATCTGCAGTAGATATTTGTATAAACTTCAAAAGTAGATAGAATCTTTAAAGCAAGAAGCCTTTTTTGCCAATCCCGTGGAAGTTTGTAATTTAAAACATAGCATAAAGAAATCTGCAGTTTCTAGTATTTTTAAATACAGGAGTCATGATGAAATTCATGCAATGGCTACTCATTTAAATCAAACCTGTGATGTCTTTTGTAGAAGATAAATTCATTATTGGGTACTGTATTTTTTAATGACACAGAGATTCGCTAGAGCAGCTATAGTTATTCAGACAATATGGAGAGGATTTATTACAAGGAAGAAACTCCAGAAAGCAGACAAAGCCTTTTCCAAATTTCAGAATACATACAGGTATGTTAGTTAACAATAAACAGTCACTTTTATAATCAGTCTTAGGGACTACATTCTATACTTTAGTGCCAGCTGTATCATATACACCCAAAGCTTTCCAAATGACAATATGTTGGAGTGGGGAGGAGATTCTTTAAGAATAATAAAACTATAACATTCTTGTGTGTGAAATTGACTTTGGTAACCATCGTTACAGATGATACACATGCAATATTAAATTAATTTCTCATTACAAGAATTTTTTCCATCACTCTCTTGTATGTCTGGTACATTTTTTTTATATTACATCTCAGCTGTTTTTTCCCAGTTTCATCAATATTGATATATTTATGTGTAATTATAATCAAAATTAGTCACAAAAGCAGATATGCTTTTTTTTTAATCTAAAAGTTTTTTTCTCTCATTTTAATGCTTTTTGTGTTTTCTAATTAGTAGATCCTCATATATTCTGTTCTATTAATAATAATTCATAAATTCCTTTACAACATAACACTTTCAGGAGACGGCAAATTGTGATGGAGCGAAGGAAGGAGGAAGCAAGACAAGCCCTAGAACTGGAGAGGAGACTCAAACTCAACAGACAAAAGATACTCAGAGAATTCAAAGAAAAGCAACTCCACACAATAGAAATATTGCCAGCTGGTAGGTCAATCAACCTGTAAAGCAATAGAAACTATCCTGAAACAAAACAATAGATCTCATGGCTTGTTTCAATTTTACCCCATTTTAAATTCGCCCAGTCATAATTCTGTTTAAAAAATTATACATGTAC